GTAGAGTATATGTGGTTGCCAAAAAATAGATTAATGCCTTACTCTTGGCCACAAATATCTAAACCTTCCCATTACAATGCAAATTCCAAAGCTTTCTGGATTATTAGTAGTATTATATTTCTATTGACAATGTTGATTAGAACATTGTCATTTCCAGGCCTAGCGTTACAGCCTGAATATTAAAAAAAAAAAAAACAAAACAAAAAACCCAAATAAAACATGACTAGTTCATATAAAGCTACTTTTGCAAACAAATTTATTGGACTACATGGCTATCATTTGGGGTTTTTTTTAATATATAAATTAATGGTCTATAAAAAAATCACAGAAAGCAGATATAAAAGTGAAATGGGCAAAAATATTTAGCACTTAGCAACAAAAATGTAAAAGATTGGGCAGGGTAGTTAAGCATTCCAGTGCATTAACCAATACCTTGGTTTAAAGGATTCTTTGGGATTACCAATACAGTAAGCAAAATTGATGAATCTAAAAACAAACATAAAAAAAACACTATTCTAAAATAGAAAAACACAAAAGAACATAAGCTGATAATCAAATATAAAATATTGCATCAGAGAACGAAAAAAAAAAATTACTGTCAAGGGAGATAATTTGAATCAACTGCATCAAAAAACAAAGTTAACATTGTGACTCCTTTATTTTCTGGGTCGTTAATAATCAACTTGTATAGATAATAATTTAGAAAAATTTAAGTTTTAATTTCAGCCAAGAGATTTCCAACGAGAGCATTCGTGATTTTAATGATTTTTTTTTTTTTTAATTCAACGTTGAGTAAAACTTATTTCATGAACATTTTGAAATTATGATTACTGTTTTGTTAAGTCAAAATTATACCACTCCTATTTTTTTTTTCTTTTTGTCAAAACTTTTATATTTCCCCTTTCTCATAAAATATAATTAAAAAAATAATTCAGTACTGCCCCCACTTGACAGCAATTAAAATTTGAAAACAATGCAATTAAAGCAATTTTAAAATAAAGGAATTTATCTCAAAAAATGGAGCAAAAAAGAAATTTTAAAATGCATCTTTTTTAATTAAATTTTCAAGTATTTAATTATAATTCAGTAACTTTTGGTTGCCTACCAAAATGTAATAGTTTTCATTACTTTTTTCTTTCTTTTAAGTAATTGGACAAAATTATATCCAATATCAGATCATACTTCCTTGTAATAAAAAAAAAAATGTTGAATGTTAAAATGATATAAAATAAAAAAAAATTAAAAAATCCTGTTTACTACGATGAAATTCAAACAAAAAATTCTACTTTACAAGAAATCAATTCTAGACACCAACTAATCTGGATGTTCTCTGATTTCAATAAGCAAAGAAAAGTGATTGCTTCGTTTGAAAATAAATTCCGATTACAAAAGCGGATTTAAACTCAAAAATTACAAAAGAGAATGCAAGCAAATAATTTTAAGCAAAAACAAAACAAAAAACAAATTTAAAATTTCAATTTTTTGCTAATGCCATTAAAATAAAAATAAAAATTGAAACCGTGCATTCTACACAAAAGGCAAATAAAGTTAGAGGAAAAAAAAAAAAAAAAAAAAACAACAACAAAGTGCAATGATGGGTTCACAAATAAAATATCAACTCCCCACCTCCATATTTTCCTCATTACCTATAGTTTCTGATGCAGTAAATAGAAACAAATATAAAAACAACAACTCAGAAGCCATGCATTGTATATACAATCTTGTATATAAACAAGTTAAAGATCACTTTGCTTTAAGTGTTTTGTTAATATTTAATTATGAGAAATCAAGATTAAACAAACTTTGCATCATACATATTATGAAATCACACACCAAAGTTAAGAGACAAATTGCAGTAAAGATTTTAGCACCACTTTAAAAAAGAAACAAAATATTTTGACATTTTTGTTTGTTTTTACACTTATGTAAATATGTGTGTATCTAACATGTAATCATTTAGCTATAAATTCCCATTTCACTCAGCATAGAATAAAAATTTCAAGTTGGAATTTATAAAATCACATTTCACTAAGGTTAGACAATAAGAAAGGCTCAAATGAATCTAAAAAGATCAAATTTAAAAATAAAATTAAAAAATTATTTCATACTTTACAAAAGATATTAGAAAAAGAATATTCCACAATTGATTAGAAAATAAATTTGAGATAAGCTAAAAATTTGAAAATAAATAAAACTACTGAAATTATAAATTCAAAAATGCTAAAACTATATAACATTAAATTTTTAAATCATAAAACCTTACAAATTTGATTTAAAATCTACAAAATTTAATTAAGGAAGATTAGCTTATATAAAAAAGACAAATCTATATTTATGTTAGTGAAAAACAAAACTCACTTGTAAAAGTATTTTCAAATATTTTCCTGTCAAAGACTTGAGAATTTCTTCTAATACACAACCTTTACAGTAAGACCGTGTATTAAACAAAATCAATACAGCATGAGAAAATACATCTGGAGTTATCTACCGTGGATATTTTAATGGCACCCGAAAAATGTATTTTTCTTATAAAAAAAAAAAATTTTTTTGAAAAAAGAGAATTGATCTGAGTTTCGAGACTTTTGCCATAACAGAACGCAATCTAAGCCATAAATTAAAAGAACATTGAATAACATTTTCAATTTAAGATTTTCTGCAATACAAAGCTTCCCATTAATTATAATTTTCATAAAAAATTTAAGCAAAATGTAAATTAAGCAAAGCAATGGCTGAAACAAGATAAATGTCTCACAAAAATGTTTCTCTCGTTTTGATAAGAGGAAATAACAGATTTTGTTAGTCTATATTACACATACAACAAAGGATTTGTTTTTTGTTTTTTGTTTTTTTTAATCTCTTTAATCAGATCTTGGGAAGCGATCATGTCAAGAACTTTTCAGAAGCCATATATATTTATTTATTTTTAATCCTACATTTTTATTACTTCAAACTTTATTATGGTGGATACTCAAACTTGAAATGGACACCAATTTTATTTTAAACAGTGTGTATTACGTCTATCAACCTAAGCATTTGAGAAATTTCAATAAAAGAAAAAAAAAAAAAAAAAGTGCTCTCCAACAGGGTGCAAACCTGTATCCCACCCTCTTAATGTGGTATATTTCATGGCCCAGTCACAGAACTAATATAGAGCTAGGTTTTGAAGAAAAATATCTGAATAAAGAAGTATGTTTTCCTTAAAAGGGAAAATAGAATGTTGCTGAACAGTGGTGCTCTCTGTAGCCAAACGGTAAAGCACACTGGATGAGATGATGGTTTCTCCTACAAAAGAGGATGCAAGTCTTGTGCCTGTTGGAGAGCACATTTTCTTTAAGATTTCTCAAATGAGCAGACCAATGGACGTAATATACACTGTTTAAAATAAAAATGAGTTGTCAATTTCAAATATGAATACCCGCTATAATGTTTGACATAATATATATATATATATATATATATATATATATACAGTCCTTTCTGAGAAAGTATTGTCACACATGTTATCTTCCATAACAACAATGTTTCTTTCCCCCACAAATTGTTAATACATTCAATGATAGTCAAAATAAGGTTATTTCAAATGCACAAATACATATGCACACACATTACAATAAAACAAGTTGCATTGTACATGTATGTTAAAGAATAAATAAAAAAGTTATAACTGTCAAATTTTTAGTAATGTAAAACAAAAACAAAAGTTGTTTGGATATAACTAAAAAATTTTTTTAAATTTCTATAAAATAAAACTAATTTCTTGTATATCATTTTCTTGATAGACCATTATGATCATCAGCTGCACAAATTTTGTTTTCTTTTCTTAAAATCATTTAGGATTTTATTTTGACAAAATTTCCTTAAAATATAATTTCTGACAGTGAAAAAGTATTTTACTATCCTTTTGAATTTGCATATAAATTACAAGAAATTTCAAGTGTGATTTCAATCTGCAGGTCTTTCAACTAATATGCTAAGAATTATTTTATTAAAAAAAAAAAATAGATAAATAAATTGGGTACCCCAAAATTAATTTTTTAAAATGCCTGCATTAAATTCCTTAAACTATTTTGCATTTGAAATTGATCAAACTCTTACATATTTCATTCAGTATCGACTACAAAAAAAAAAAAAAAACTACACAAACATAGGCATTAGAAATTTCTTTTGTGAATATATTCTAGTCTTTTTGCTTTCATTCAATGTGAATGTATTGGAAATATACAATTTTAATTGTTCTTTTGTTCTCCCTCCTAAATAAGATTTTTCTTTTTCTAATTCTTTCAGTAACACCTTTTATCTTAGTAGTTTTATTGTCTTGCTTGGGGTGAAATAATTAAAAATAAAAATGGTCAAAGTATATGGAAAAAGAAAGACCATTTAATCTATATCATCCTAGCATCAGTTTAAATCAATGGGGCATGATTTTAACCTAATGAAAATTTCACTGAAATATGTTAGAAAAATTGTTTTCATCTGGAATAAAAAATAAAAAAAAACTAAGAAAAATGCTTAAAATAAAAAAAAAAAAAAAAAAAAAAAACTTTAAAAGTTAATTTCCACTTATGATTTTTTTTTTTTATAATTCTTCAAATGTTATTGAAGACACTAAAAAAATAAATACTAAAAGGTACATTAAACAAAAAAAAAAAAAAAAAAAAAATCAAGATAATTTAAGCAAATAGAGATAAGATACTGGATGATGATTGTGATAAGCCTATCAAAATATCTCCATATACCAGAAATTTCAGAGACATCTTTATTGTTGATCTCATGGAACAAACAACACATATGACAAAACATGCATTGCTAAAGACAGAAACAAGATAAGTTCCCTGAAAATTGAACTATGTTAGAAACACAGGCAGAAAGAGCAGGCAGGTAGAAAGAGCCATTAGAAAGAATTTATATGTCTTTAAGACTGTGTGAATCAATCAAAGCAGCCATAAAAGATGCCTGCAAAACTTGCACAAAAGAGAAGCGACATTCTTGGGGTGGCCTACCTGAACAGGTCAGAATCTGCAGATGCTGTGATGGCATTGGGGATGCTGGAGTTTGATGAAGAAGACAGACAGGGTGTGGCAGGCAATGAACATGATGGGGACAAGGAAGGAGAGGGTGTTGTCACTTCGGTGGAGTCAGTATCTGCAGGGACAACCAAAATTGTAGGTGGTGACACTGGTACTGTGCTTTTTATAACTGGGACAACTGCAATCGCAGAGGGTAGAGAAGCCGTCTCCCTGACAGAGACAACAGGAACAACTGTGATAGAGGGTGGTACTGATGCCGTTTCAACAACTGTGGCAACCATGAAGGCTGGTAGAGTTGCTGTAGTTTTTGGAACAGGTATGACAGCCACAGGTTTTGAAGAGAAAGCTGAAATTTCACTAACTGGGACAATCATTGTTGCTTCAGAAGATGAAGGAGGAGGAGGAGGAGGAGGAGTTGTAATGGTAGTGGTAGTTGTGGTAGTAGTAATGGTGGTATTGATGGAAGGAGTAGAGGTGGAAATGGTTGCTTCAATGGCCTCAGTGGTGGTGGTTGTTGTGATGGCAGTGGTTGGGAGATCGGTAAATTCTTTATTAAGGGGAGCATCACTATAAAGTAATGTGGTGCTATTTTGATGATTTTGGTGGGCTTTCCAGCGTTTCGAGTCGCCCTTCCGGACTGTACTGTCACTAAAGAGGGAGGGAAACAGACAAGCTGACCATTACAAAAAGGACATTAACACAAGATATGGACATTAAAAAAAAAAAAAAAAAAAATCACTCACATACACACATAAAAATCAAATATACATTTAACAACTATAAATAACAAAAAAATACAACTGAAAAAAAAAAAAAACTAGCAAAAAAACAAAAAAAAAGCATAACAACAAAAAGTAAAATATGGCTTAAAAAAAATTTAAATGATTTGAACAAAGAAGTAAAAAATTATGGTTCATTTTGAAACCTAAAACTCTTGACAGAAACTCACAAAATGTGCATATAAAAATTATTATATAAAAATTCTACCAAATAAAAATGAACAAGTATTTCAAATAATATTTGGGACATTAAGGCAAATGTAAAAATAAAACAGAGAAAACATTTCATTGAAACTAGATTTGATTGCATATTTCACCTTTCTAGGCTTCAGATCCAAAAATCAAAGAAAGAAGTGTTTGTGCATGCATGTATTTGTGTGTATGTTTAAATACTAAATCATTAGTACTTTTCCCTAAGCTGGCATTTCTTGTGATTAAAGAAAATGAAGGCTTTTAAAAATCCATTAACATTTATTCTGTATCTTTTCTTTATAATTCCTAGTTCATATTGAAAGTTATTAATATTTTTCCCAGTTTTTTTTTTGTATCAAATTAAAAGGTAAATCTTCATCTCATTTTCAGAATGGCTTGAAGCAAGAGATTCATTTTAGCCTTTTCTGAAATAAATCCAAGGCAAATCCTCATGCAATCCTTCAGAATGGGTTGAGAGTAAAAGATTTAAATGTTTTTAGGTTTGTCTATGTGTTTTCCACGTCGATAATATGCATTTAAAATAGGACATAGAATCCCAACAATGATTTTAAGAAATTTGACAAATGAAAAATGTTTTATTGAAACTAGATTTGATCACATGTTTTGCCTTTCTAGTTCATGCTATATTAAACATACACACAATTTTTTTTATTTTTATATATAAAAATATATATATCTCTGGTAATACTCGGAGAGATTATACATATACATATAATAATGGACTCTCCCATCGGTTTCGACGTATGAGGATCTGACAGCTTATTGATTCAGTTATGAAAGTTCGTGCGCTAATCTTAAGTGGCATTTAAGACCCGCTAGTGATTTACAAAGGAGGCCACATATGGAGCAAGTGTGAGGATTGTGAAATGAGATCACTGTTAGATTGGCTGACCTTTTATATCTTGCTCTCGCTTCTTGAAGATGATTCAGACAAGCAGATTGAAAATTGCTGAGTCCACTAAAACACATTGATCTCCATTCTACCCGCTCCAAAGCTAAGCGCTCAAGGGTGTTATGTGGTATATTGACTGCTGACAAGTTGCTTTTCAGCTTGTCTTTGTATCTTAGCCACAGGCGTCCTACATTCCTGTAGCCCTTATCTAACTGGCTGTACATTAGGATCTTGGGTATCGTGTCATCAGACATTCTCAAGACATGATCAGTCTATCGTAATTGAGACTGTATGA